GCCTACTGAAGTGGCCCAGCTTTCCACAGTGGAAGCAATTCTGACCTCCTTTATTACCTTTGGGTGGCACTGTATATGAGTAAGACTTCCTTTTCCTGACTCAGGCCCTAAACTGGCAGCAATAGCTGCCCCAATAATTTTAGCCATTCTCTGGTCTTTTCTCTTCCTTCTAGATTCCAATTGTTAAAAGAGGGGAAAATTTAAACAAATGTATAACAAATAATTTTGAACATTATAATCTTTTAAGCTTAAGGCTAGAAATATTAACAATATGATCGTTTCCAATCCAGAGATACATGTTCCAATGCAGTTCCTATTTTCCATAAGTGGTTTTGGTAAGAATATTGTAAATGTGGATACATTTCCACTCTTCTTCCTCCATGCCATGATATAGTGTTATTAGCATGAGCAGTTATAAATCCATTGCCCTCCTTACTCTAACTTAATTCTTTTTTTTAATTTAAATTTGTTATTAATTTCAGTAAAAGTTTACAGAGACTTTGGGTTTCCATTCATTCATTGTGCCCATAATTATTTATACATTATCAAACTCGAATCCTTGTTCCTTAACATCTTAAAGGAGTCTTGGACAACAGATGTCCCCAATGCAGTACAAATTTTGGTCTCTTGATTTATGTTAATTGTGGATCCAAGCAAAATGAAATCCATAACAATTTCAGTCTTTCCTCCATCTATTATGTTGTTGCCTGTTGGTTCAGTTATGAGGAATTCTGTTTTCTTGTTGAAATGTAACCCATATTGAAGGCTTTAGCCTTTGATGTTTTTCATTCAGTGCCCTAGTCTCGTGCTCGCTGCAGTAGTGCGCTCCCTCACTCCTATGTTCCCTCTTTCACGTCAGCACCTGCCTTGCTCACTCCTGTAATCCTTTCCTCTGTGTGTGCGCGCGTATGAGTGTCTGGGTGTTGGTGATTTTTTCTTTTTCATTTCTTTGCTCCCTTCTCCCTTGCTTCTCATGTCTATTAATTCTCCAAGATTGATTCCATATGTGTATAAACCTTTTCCTAACTTCTTATATTAGTGATGTTATACCATAATTGTGACCGACTTACGTTTCTGAGCATAATTTGTTCTACTTTAATCTGTTTTATGTAATAGTTCACAAATTCTTAGTAGTTTTTTTTTGGTGGTGCATAATAGTGTGAGCATACCACAATTTCTTGAGCCATTCATCCACTGATGGGCATTTGGGTTGTTTCCAACTACTTGCTATTATGTTTTATGTGCCATCGAGTCACCTGCAACTCATAGCAACCCTAGGTAGAACAGCCCTAAACCCTTCTCTATCCTGTGCCAATCTTATTGTCTCTGACACACCTATCCCATTTTCCCAGTCACTGAATCAATCCATTTCATCCAGGGTCTTCCTCTCCTGTGCCGTCTCTCCACCCTCTCAAGCATGATGTCCCTCTCCAAGGACTGGTCTCTCTGTGTAACATGTCCAAAGTATATCAGATAAAGCTTCAGAACCCTTGCCTCCAGGGAGCAGCCTGGTCTCACCCTTAGAGACGAACTTGTTTGTTCTCCTAGCAATCCATGGTATATTCAATACTCTTCTCTGGCACCACAGCTCAAATGTATCATTTCTCCTTCTATCATCTCTAGTCATTGTCCAGCTTTCTAATGCATAGCAAGTAAATACACAGACTATGTTCTGGATCAGGTGCATCTTAGTCTCCAGACTGACCTCGTTGCTCTTCAGTACTATGGCAAGGTCTCTGACAGCAGACTTTCGTAAGGCAATCTATCTTTTAATTTCCTGGCTGCTGGTACCAAGAGTGTTGATTGATTTTGGAGCCAAGCAAACTAAAGCTGTTAACAGTCTCAATCTCTTCACCATCTATCATGATGATAGATAGCCAATTAGCCCAGTGGTGAGAATCTTTGTTTGTTTGCTTTTATGTTGAGCCTCAATCCATATTGAAGGCTGTAGTCCTTGATCTTCTGCAACAAGTGCTTCATGTCTTCCTCAGTTTCAGCTAGCAAGGTTGTGTCAAATGCATAGCGCAGATTGTTGATGAGTCTTCCTTCAATCCTGATGCCATATTTCTCCTCATAGAGCCCAGCCTCCCAGATGAACTGTTCTGCATATAGATTGAAAAGGTATGGAGCTAGGACACATGCCTGACGTACACCCTTCCCAATTTTGAACCATGCAGTGTTTCTTTGCCCTTTTCTGATGACTGTCAGGAGGTCCAAGTGTTGGTTTTGTATAAGCATATGTGAGTATGCCAATTTGTGGTGTAGTTCTTATTTCTTTGGAATGTCTATCTAGTAGTGAGATTGCTGGATCAAATTATATGTCTATTCTCAATTTTCTACTGAAGCACCAAACAAGGTTCAATAATTATTGCAGCATTTTACATTCTCATCAGCAATGTATAAGAGTTCCAATTTCTTTATCACATCACCAATATTTGTTGCTTAATGTCTTATTGAACATTGCTATTTTTATTATGATAAAATTGTATATCTCATTGTTGTTTGATTTGCATCTCTCTAAAGCTAATACCACCCTTGTTACCAGCAGTCAGGAAATCAGGAGACATATTACACTGGAAAAAGTCTACAGTTAGAGCCCTCTACAAATTATTGAGGAGTAATGATGTCATTTTGAGGACTAAGGTGTGTAGACTCAGGCCATGGTCTTTCTGATCACTTGCTCTGCATCTAGGAGCT